TTTAAATATAAATTATATTTAAAATTTATATAAATAGATATTTTTCAACATATAAATTATGTTTTAAATTTATAATAAATAATTTATTTTATAATATAAACTTAATTTATTTATTGATAATTTATTTTAAGATATTAATATTAATTTATAAATAATTATGATAAATATAAATTAAATTAGATAAGAAATTAAAAAATTCTTACAAATCCTTACTTTTATAAATAGATAAGAAATTCATAAATAATTATTGATAATTGTTTATATTTAATATATAAAATTTTAATTTAAGATTATTTATTTTAAGTGTTTCGTTTCATCCCTTTGTTCAGAAGAATTTAAATATATTGATGACGACATTCAGTTACAATTTTTTTTATTTTTTTATTTTATGAAATACAGTTACAACTTATTTACTTCTTCCTCCATGCTTCATTTAATACATCGTTAAAGAAATACAATAAATCAGTTATGTATTTGACTATTTGTCTATTTTTTTAAAAATAATTATTAGTTTTAAATCTTTCTACTTGTTTGATAAAAAAGTATTACCTTGGCTAACCTTAGTTTATTTTCCATTGAGAATGCTTAGTTTTGATTTTAAGGCAAAGCTATGAATAAAAGCTTTTGTATTATTGACAAAAAGGAATCGAGAGAGATGTTGTATTGAGGAATTACAATGCTGGTGAAGCAAGCCACAAGAAATGACATATATAAAGATTTTTATTAAAGAAAAAGTTTGGTTGTATATTTAAGAACAGGGTTCTACATGAATTGGATTCAATTGAAATGGTTGGTCCCAAGCATAATTGAATTTGACAACAGTTGCAGAGATACGTCGACCAGCATTAACCAAACAAGTACCAGAGGTGGTCGATACTTTCAAAACTGAAGGGTTAATGGGTATTACAGATTGAAATCCAGTGCAATTCAATGTCAATGATTGAGCACATGAACACATGCTGCTGACATTTACTTGCCACTCTGGCTTTCCCTCCACTTTAGCTCCAGGTAGAAACTGGCTTACATGAATGTCTTTCAAGGAACAATCGCTGTAGCCTGACATAATCATGATTCATGACACAAGTTATAAACAACAATTTGTAAAAACTTTCTTTCATACAATGGAGGAAAAATTACCTTGAGAAATCAGGGCAAGGAAGAGGACTAAGCTAAGAAGCTTGGTGGTTGAGTATGCCATTTTAGATTACACAGATTGAATTTGTACAGGCTGAATATAACACCAGCAGTATGTTGTCTTATATATATATATATATACAGGAGTGTTATAATAACACTGGTATAACTTTTACCAAGTATTACATTGTTTAATAACTTTATATTAATTGTGAATTTTGTAAATTCAATCGTTACATTAAAAGTTCATATCACTTTATATGTTTATATCAAATTTTGTTAAAATTGAATAACGTAATCAAAATATTTATATTTTAGTATATATACACACAAATAATATATAAATATAAAAAACAAAATAAAATTTTTAATTTTAATAAATATTAAAAAATACAAATTAATTATTTTAATAATTAAATAGTTTAAATTATAATATAACTAAGTAACAAACTTTAAATTATTCATTCAATTAAAAATATAATTTAATTCTTAATTTTTCTATTTATAAGTTTTTTTCATTTATTATTTTTATATATTATTTATACTATAATATAATAATTAACCTATAATTTAATTTACTTAAAATATATAAGTAAATTAAAATTAAAAAAAATGTGATTGATTTTCACAAGGTTACTTAAATCCGACAAAATTTGCTAGAGATGAGTTTTAAAAATATAAATTTATTTATTTAAAATCAAATCCAAACCAAGGAAAAAGTAAAATCCATCCTTGACTAGTTTCATTGTTATCCTTACTAAAAGATAAAATAAGAAAAGTTAGAAGGTTTAAAAAAATATTTTAACCAACTTTTCATTAAAATGTGTATCTTAAACCAAACCAAGTTTTTATTAAAAAAAAGATTTTAATAATGTTTTTATTAAAATAATTCATTTTAAACTATAACTATTAAAAGATAAAATAGATATTAAAATTAAAAAATTATTTTAACTAAATTTTTGTTAAAAAAATGCATTTGCATATTTTTCGATGCTACTTTATTTTATTTTATTTTATATAAAAAATTTCTTTATTTTAGTTTTTAATAAAAACTTTCAATATATTAATTCCTAAATCAGTACGTTTAAACACTAGATAGCAAGACTTTAATTTCTATTGATAAAAAAAAATTATGATCACCCTATTCGAGGTGAATATTCAATTTTACACCACGAATAACCTATAGTCATTCAACTCATAAAATATAATACATTAAATACAAACGTTATTACAGTTGTTCAAGTCATCCTTGCTTTTTATTTAATACTATATATTAACATTAATAACATTAAATACATATATCACTCTACCCCATAATGATTATATTTTAATATTTTTATAAATATATTATTTTTTATACAAATTTATTAAAATAGTACGTTTTTTTATTAAATATATCTTTTAATTATAATAATTTAATAATTTATAAATGGATAAATTTTTTAAAAATACTATTACATTGAAACATAATTCATTTTGAAGCAGTTTTCAAATTCTAAAACTACAGACTTTGTGCGATGGAAGGAGTACTACACATGTTCAAGTCTATTTTGCTTTAATTTAATAATATATCTTATATTTAAGTATGTTTTTAGTTCAGGTGGAAGAGTTTTGATTTTATTCTTTATAAAAAATTTTCTTTGATTTTCAGTTTTTAAATTTGTAACCATTGTTTTTAGTGACATGTAAAATAAATAAATTTTGATTTTGATTTCTGCAAAATATTTTTCTTTAATTTTTATTATTTAAAATTTGAAGTCACTATAATTTTGGTCCCTACTAACTATTTTAATAAATTAGAAGCGTTACATGAAAATAAAATATCCTAAACATTTAGGGATGGCAACGGGACGCGTCAGGTATGTGTTTCATGATACTCGTTCCCGTCCCCGCGGCTCAAACTCATCTTTATCCCCGTACTCGTATCTGTTAGGAATATAATTTTCGCCTCATCCCTATCTCCGTCGCATATCGGGTATACTCGTACTCGTACCTGTCAATTTCTATTTTTATTTTGCAAAAAAAATATATAATATTTTTTAATTATTTTTCTATTATATTACAATTATAATTAAGTTCTCATATTTTAATAAAGAAACTTCTTAATAATTAAACAACTATAAATGTTTCACATTATAATAAATAATTACACATAATTAAATATTAAAATTCTTTAACACAATTAAATCGAGGGTAGATATTAAATCGGGGATGGGGCAGGTAAGTATATACCCATACCTGATTTAATATATCGGGTTTTACCCGCATCTGGTCAAACCGGGTATTCCTTGTCAAAATCGAAACGGCTTCGAGTATTATTCACAGGTACGAGTTTATTTGTCATTCCTACAAATAGTTGTGAGTGTTGAGTATTACTTAGAATGATCGCGTAATCTTCTAATAAACACACACATACACACATATGAATATATATATATATATATATATTTATTTATTTATTTATTTATTTAAAAAGGGTCACATAATAGTATGGACTAAAATAATAGTTTTCAATTTTAGAGGATGGAAAACATATTTATAGAGATCAAAATTAAAATATGTTCATTTTGTAAGGATTAAAAATATATTTAACCTTATATTTTAACAACTAAGGAGTTTACCTCAATTGGTTGAATAATGTTTGAATTGTGTAATTCCTTACTTAGCATCAAGTTCGATTCTAATTAATCAAGAAAATAATAATAAATTTTTAAAATTTATATTATTTTATACCACCAATCCAATCACAATCATAGTATTATGACTTTTAAGTAGTGTTTTTTAAGTTAAAAACATTATTATGCATAGTATTAATGTAATTTTTTTATTATTGGTGGGAATTCAATTTTTTATTATATAGTTTTATTACCAAGTAACCAAGGTGTATTGATAATAATCATCCTTAAAAGTGTAACGACTCGATAGATTACTATATTTAGTATAGTATAGTTACTATGCAACATAAAACATAATAGAATTTAATTATATTAGGATTTTCATGCAATAGTCACCTGATTATTCATGTAATAGATGTATGTATAGGGACAAAAGGAAAAAAAATAATTCCTGCTTATAAATTGGATAACATAAATTCCCTTATGAGGTTATATAAAATCTCTATGCATATTGTTGGGATATAAACAAGTCTCACATCGATAATATAAGATAAGAAATAACAACTTATATAACACAAACATACTTCAATGATAGAGAAACCTTTTAGGTGATGATCAAAAACAAAACCGTGAGGGCTTAAGCCCAAAGCGGATAATATCTCATCATTGTGGAGTATGTTTGATTAATAACCTTATAAAACAACACTTATAAAATATCCCCTCAAACAAATACTATAAAATAACTCCATCACATATATACAATATACATTAACTAACCCTATTGTGTACAAAGTAACCCTATTGTTGGTCAAGTGTTTATACAAACCACACTACACTAGGGTAGTATCACAAAACTAGACCATCATCAGCGTGACCTTCCACCAGTCAATCAAACTATCCAGCTAATCTTGTTTTGTTTCTATATGATTAATTATTGCAGTCCAACAACAAGAAAAATAATGGGTAAATTTATGAAAGAATCAATATAAACAACTTAAATAGAGAACTAGCTTAGTCACCACATTAATCCTAAATAACTCACCACTTATTCATAAAACCAACAGGTAGAAAATCAATTAACAACTAATCATCATATATAAACCACTTATAATGGATGATAACAATTATTTAACTCCAAACACAACAAAGAAATAGCTAAATATCTGATAACAACTAAACAATGGAATAATTGTTAAACATCTAATAACAATTGTTAAACAATTAAGCAATTGATTTGTCGTCACACATATTTACCTATAGAGATCTCCTACAACAAAGGTGAGTGGTTTAAGTGATTTGACCTTATTGAATCACAACGATTGATATAAAACCAGAAATAACAACTAGTATAAAACTAGAAACAACAGTTAACATGGTGGTTAGATTAATTTCTTAGGTTTTGTCACTCAAACTATAAAATTCGAGTACTACAGTCAATGTAGAACAACTTGAGAAAATTACATTATTAATGTAATCTATAATAACAAATTACTTTAATAAATTACAATATTTCATATGTTTATTTTTCATTCATAAACTCATTAAAAAAGGGACAATTAATATAATAATTCTTATTTAAAAAAACGTGTGTGTGAAAATAAATAACATGTAGGTTTTGTGGTATAAAACGGTTGCATAAAATTCATGATTACTTCTAAAAATAGGATATTTAGTTTGGTAAAATATATTATAAAAATAAGGTTAAATCTATCTGTAATTAGATTTAGTTTAGTTTGGTCAAAGTTTGTGATTTAATTGTGAAAAATTCGATGCAAATACACTATGTTAAAATATTTTGATCTTTGATTTATATATAAGATCATCAACTTGAAATATTTAAGCCCTAATAATAATAAACAAAAAAGTCTTGGCCCATGTAGTTATAGGTAAAAACATCTTTATTAAATCTATAAAACCCCCCATTAACATCTTTAGAATGGTCATTCATATAATTTTTTTTATTATTTAATTGTTTAACTAATATTACTTTATTTCATTTTAGTGTTGATTTCAAGCCAAAGCTATCGTGTCCGTTATTGTATGCAAAGTAGCATAAAAAGAAATAAATGAAAAGGAATTGAAAAGTAACATATAAAAAACGACTTAAATTGGATCATCGCATCTTTGTAATATTATTATGAAGAAGAAAAAAAATTAAAACACAGGAATCAATTTTTATTCTGGATAACAAACCAGACTACACTAAATGCCAAAACGTTTGTAAGAGAAAAATTCATAACTGTCCATTTAAGAACAAAAAATCTCAGAAGAAATGGGATTTAATGGAAATGGTTGGTCCCAAGCATATCTGAATTTGATAGCCTTTCCATATATAGGTTGACCACCATTTACAAGACAAACATTGTTTGAGACTTTCAAAAGTGAAGGCTTTACGGGTTCAACAGATTGAAATCCTTTGCAATTCAGCTTCACATTCGTTTGAACACATGGACACTTATTGATTATAGTTACACTCCATT